ATTAGACGGGGAACAATAATATCAAAACTATTTTTTGCACTTCGGAGTTCTTCACCCTCAAAAACTCGAAAAACTCCCGAAAAAATGAGTTTTTCATCAAAAATGACTTTTTGAACCCTGAAGACGTGATGTCAGAATCTTGCTCAGATCTACAAAATACTTCAAAGGGTGTCAGCATTCACTTCCCGTTTTGATTTCGTCAATATCTCATCAGACAAAAAATTTTATTTTTCGACCTATAGTGCCCCTATATAAGAGGAAAAGGGGCGGAGCCTAATTCAATGTACACCATAAACCTTAGAAGTGTTGTGGTGTATACTATACTAGGTACCAACCGATTTGGATCGGTTTGACTTTTTTCTGTACAGTGGAATCCTCCATTCTACCAGAGAACGTGTCTTAATCCATAGACTTTCTTCCCATAACCCCCTCAGTGAACAATGGACTCTCAAAAAGAAAAAAAAATTACCGCTACTCAAATTTTCCATTGTCCTCATCTCGCACTCTCTCATCTTCTTTTTATTATCTAGTCGCTGGTTTTTGGGCTTTTTCTGATTTTTTTTCTCTCTCTCTCTCTCTCTCTCTCTCTCTTTCTCTTTTCCAACTAAAATAGTCAAAAAGCTTATAAGGAACACTAACCCAACAACAATAAAAAAGAGCAATATATATCGGAAGTGGGTCTACCTTCTCTCCCTCCTCCTTACAACGAAAAACGCATAGAGTAGTGGTCAGTCTCTCTCTTCTTGATGACACTGAAAAATGCATTTGACAGGTTTTGAGAAATGGGGTGGACACAACTGAATAATATATAAATCATTAGACAAAGACCGATGAATTTATTTGTTTTGCCCCTGTTTTGGGGAATTTTTGAATAGAAATTTGTGGTTTTTGTTGGGTTTTAATAAATATTATAATAGTTAGAAGATGTTGCGTAACTATGCCTGAATTTAGCTGAGCTCAGAGCTTTGGGGCATTAGGATTAGGATTAAAATTTTGACGGCCTAGATGTTTAGGTTGGTGGCCTAGAAAATCAGCTGGGAATCTGAAAATGAACTGTCGGAAGCCATGATGCTTAGTCTGCAAACACCGCCAACTGACGCTATCACTTCAGGAACTGATAGATCGGTTTGAGATTTTTGGAAATTTTTATGGAATAATGGAATAGGATCTAGCGGGAAATAAAGATGGAGCAAAGAGCAAAAAAATGAAAATTATGAACACATGGAAGCAATAAAAATAAGAGAATGAAAATGAAAAAGAGAAGAGGAGCTATTAGAAACTCTTCAAAAAAAAATTTTTTGGAAGACAAAGGAGAAGGAAATTATATTTGAACTTTACGCGGACGAAAACGATCAAGAATGGCCAGAATTGAGATTTTTCGAGCTAAAAAGGTTCTGAATATCGTCAAAATTTTCATGGAAAACACAGAAGTTTAGTGCAGCGGTTTTGAATTTTTAGGTTTTTACTAGCTTTTGAGCCTGATTTTCTGAAAAATCCTATATGATATTTATACCAATCGATAGAGAATTCTTTGATCTACCTAATGCTATAATTATTGTTCGAATTGGTTTTAGACAAATCCAACAAAACATTAAAATTCTGAACTTCAAATTCGGGATTTTTGGGTTTGTACTATTTTTCGGGTCTGACTTTGTGGATCCACCCTTCATGAAGATTTTTTTTCAGAGGAATTATCATATAGGGTTGTTTCAGAAAAAGCCGACCAAAAAATCGAAAAAAAAAGAATTTGGTACCGGATTTTCGAGTTTCTGGGGTTTTCCTATTTTCGGCCTGATTTTCTGGATCATCCTTTCATAAAGTTTAGACCAATGGGTAGAAAATTCAATCCTCTATCGATTGGTATAATTATCATATAGGGTTGTTTTAGAAAAATTCATCAAAAACTGTAAAGAACTGAATTTGTTAACGGGATTATCAATTTTCTGGTTCGTAATATTTTTGGGCCTGATTTTCTGAAACAGCCTTATCTGACGCTTGCACCAATCGATGAAAAATTTAATTCTCTATCGATTGGTACAAATTTCATATAGGATTGTTACAGAAAAGAAGGTCAAAAAGGAAAAAATGAGCGAAAGCTCCCGATTCTACAAGAATGCAAAAAAGCTGACCATGGGATTGTTAATCTTGATCACGAATCTGCAATCTAGAATCCCGGAGATCAGGAAGACCCTCTTGCAAAAAATTAATCCTGCACTATTATTTCTCATCCTAATTACCCACAGTACCCCCTTAGACTCAATTCCTACCCTATATGTTTGCACTACTCAGTCTCTATCTACAATATATAATTCATTTACTGACGGCGAAAAAAAGTAGAAGGAGAAGTGCTTCAGAAGACATCACTTCTCCTCTTTTTTTTCGGAAAGCAACGTCTTCAGAAGGCACACACACACACAAATCCGTAATCCCCTTAGCCGTTAGAGCTCAGGGAGAAAGGAGCCAAAAGTTTTGTGTGCATAATTAGGAGGGAAGGGGATTTTGGAAGGGAAAAAGCAAAGGAAAATTGGTACGTTTGCGAAAAAATACAACTTTTTCTTTCCCGAGGAGATGGATGGGATTGATTGAAATGGATGACGGAAAAAAGAAGAAAATAAATGAAAATGGGTCGTTGGGCACCATAAGAAAGATGATGGATTGGCATTTACGGGATTGAAAAAAATTTTTTTTGGGATTTAAAGGCGCGTGATTTTTTTGTCGGGAAGGTCATGAGCTCCTGGGTGGGTGGTGTACCTTAAAAGCACATGATGTGTTTTGAAAACATCCTGCGCCTTTAAGATTTTACAGTCCGTCTAGCTTTTGACTTGGAACCCTGGTTCATGAAGCTTTCAAGAAATCACTAGTCTAAGAGCCCTGAGGCTCAGAATCTTGAGCTCTGGTCTAGAGGAGGAAGTGGGCGGAGCCAAAAGTGTTTGGAGGTCTGAAAAAATTTTTTTCGGAGTCAAAAAAAAATTAATGTGGGGGTGAAGGGATTCAATAAGATGAAAAAAATTAGACTCCGCCCACTTTTAGAAGCTTTTCCAGAAAAAAAAATACCGAATAAAATTTTCGAATATTTTTTTTCGAACAAAATCGGATTTTTGACCCCGAAAAATTTATTTTTAATATTTCAAGAATCTCAAAAATTGAATTTTGTAGATCAAAAAATTCTCTATCGATTGATATAATTATCATACGGGGGTGTTTTCTGAATATTAGGCCAAAACGCTAAAAAATCAAAAAAAAATTTTTGAAAATTGGTATTTTGAGTTTTTGTTTAACTTATTCTGGTAAAACCCTATACGATATTCATACCAATCGGTAGATAAAAAAGATCTCTATCGATTGGTATAGATATCATATGGGTTTGTTTTATGAAAAGTAGGCCAAAACGCTGAAAATCGAAAAAAAAACTCAAAAAGTAAAAAAAAACTAAAAAGTTCGAAAAACTAAAAAAAAAATCGAAAAATTGCAAAAAAAATCAATTTTTTTCTAAACAAATCTCAAAAAATACAGTGACCCCTTCCAAAAAATCCCAATTTTCCAGACAATGTCACCTACTAAAAGGGCACAGTGAGCACCGGAGCAACGAGTGGAAAGAGCAGGAAGTTTTGAGGTGAGTGTGTCTACTATTCTTCGCTCTTCCTTCTTTTTTTTTCTTCTTTTCTTCTTTAAACTGCTTCACTGAACTCGAATGACCCCCCACCCCACCCTCACCTATTTTTTGATATTTTGGGTCCTACCCTTCCCTCCGCCCCGTGGGGCACCACTCAAAAATAGAAGAATAGAGGAACAATAGGTTGTATTTTCTTTTGTCTTTTTTTGAGTTTTTTTGTTTTTTCTTGTTGTTTCTTTTTTTTTGTTACCTGGAAATGGACTTTTACCTGGAAACTCGTGGGGTCCTTCCCCTCGGCGCGGGGCGCAAAACCCCCTCTTTTATCACCGCCCCTCGCCTCTTTTACCGACATGTCGCTAATAGCGCAACTGGTAATCGTTTTGACTTCCAAGCGGGCACCCCCGGGTTCGAGCCCCCTGGTGGCCAAATCTTTTTTTCTTTTTTTTTATCTCCCTCAACTTCCAGAAGCTGCGTACAAGCCCTCGAGGGTCGATGTTCGCGACGGAGCGAGTATGCTCATCAGCAGAAAATGGCTGTGAAGCAGCTGGTGGCTAAAATCGAAGTGATTCTATTAAATGAGCTATCCGGATATGTGGAGAGGAGGAATGAGCCGGATAGGAGGCTAATATCGAGATTGAACCGGGAATTGATAAATATTGATGCGAAAGATGATCGACCGTCTATCTATCACGTTCCATCACCGTCACGACCAGCGTGGAAGACCTGGAATTTGGATGTGTCGGATCCGGCGAAGTAAGGAGAGATAGGGAAAGAGAGACGCAGACAGTGAGAGTGTCTAGACGTCTGCGTTTCTTTATTCTAGATTTAGGGATCAGAGCTCCAGAAATGTTTTTTGATCTACTTTTTTTGGAGAAATCTTATGTGAATTTTATACCAATCGATAGAGAATTTTTGATCTACTGTAGTGCAAACGCGCTTCACGGTAGCGCAAGTATTTGAAAAACAAAAACAAAAAGATTATAGTTTTTGAAAAAAAGTTTTTAGAAAAAAAGCGACCCTGACCAAAAACCACTATAATTATATTTCCAGAATGCAAAAAGTGCTGGACATGACAGCTGATATAATGCGTTTACCGCGGCACTCGGTCTCCGATGCCGATATCCCGGAAATCAAAAGCTCAACCGATTGGGACGCCCGTCTCATGAGTCTATTCATTTGTGAAAGTATTGGAATTGTGCCGGTGCAGGTTAATGAGTGAGTTTTTGAACATTTTTTTTGAATTCCCGCCGAATCGTATTTTTCTGCAAGTTGACGTGACGGTGTTTGCACAGTTTAGCTAATTTTTGTCTGCGCTCCCCTCCCCCTTGTCGCAGGGCGCCGCGTCTCGCAGTTTCCTTTATGCCCACCCCCTTGCCTACCGTTGCGTGTCCGCGTGGCCTAGTGGCTAACGCTGCTGTTTTCGAATTTTTCATCGAGGGTTCGACCCCCACCGGGGTCAATTCTTTTTGTTTTTTTATTATTGGGTCCCTGGGTATGTTCTAGAAGCCTAGGACAATTTTTAAATAGTTCGGTAGAGCACACTTTCACACAATTTCAATTTTTTGTTCTGTTTGCAGTGCCCGTAGTGATATAATGTCGGTGACGGATGATCGAAGACGTGGCTGCAGTGTCGACTCGTCAGTTTCTCGTTTTGTTCGAGAAGGACCCTATGTGAGCTCATTCCGAGAGAAATCGATACCATTGGAAGAGACTCCACGACTCGGATCAGTGTCTTCTAGTAGTATTTGTACGGTGGATACCCGACCATCAAATGTGTCGTCATTGCCACCATTAACCGATTATAATTCTCATGCAAGCAGTATTTTGGTGAGTTCTGACGGAATCGTGGTGGGACCCAAAAAATTTTTTTTGAAATTTTATTCATGATTATACTCATTCGAACCGTCTCAAAAAGCTGGTTTCAAAAATCTAGTTTCCAGAAAAATCAGAGCAAAACTGACCGAGTTACACTGGATTTACACTTTTCGTGATGGGACCCAAAAACAAAATTTTTTGAAAACTCAGTCATGATTATACGCATTCAAACCGTCTTGACGAGCTGATTTCAAGAATCTAGTCTCCAGAAAGATCGGAGGAAAGCTGACCGAGTTACTATAGATGTTTCACTTTCGTGGTGGGACCCCAACACAAAATTTCTGGAAACCTGGTCTTATTTGGACCGAGAAATCTAAGAAAATTCAACCAGACATCCGGACAAACGTCCAATATTACAGAGTTCATCAATCACCCCCACCCCTCGAGAGGAGGACGAATCCTCGTCGTTTTGTTTCGGCAAAAGTTATCTGACACGTCCGATTTGTGTCGAGGCATTCAGCACTCAGACACGACCCAATAAATTGGCAGTCACTGATAGTTGTGGTGGGGTCTACATCACAAATTCACATGGAGAAATCGAGCAGAATATACTGATAAAAAACTCGTCAGCCAGCTCGGTTTGTGTCGATGAGAAGAATGAGTTAATGTGAGTTTTCGTCAGAAAAAAAAATTAAAAATTGGGAAAAGGTTGTCATGGAGCGCAGATGAAACCGCGTTCTAGTTCTATGAAATAACAAAAAATGAGAAAAATTTCAATGAAAACATTTGAAAGGGGTCAAATGGTTCAGTAGAGCTCATTTTTACAATTTTCAAACTCGGTACACCTAAATGGCTTGTAGATTTTTTTTTTGAACAGACTATATTTAAAAAATACACAATGACAATGCGCGCACGGTAAATTTTTTTTGTACGTACAATTTTTTTCTCGGTTTCTACGCTCCATCTCACACTGAATTTTACGAATTTCATGTTGCGTCTTTAAAATCTGACAGTAAGCCGCGCTTAAGCCGAAGGAGCGCACACCATGTTTCCAGAGCAATTTTCAGGAATAAATTTTGATCGAATTCTGTTAATATAATATTCAACATGATGCGAAGAAAAATTTCTATTCAATTTGATTCAATAAAAGCTTAGGCCCTGATTTTTAATTTTTCAACGAAATGAGAAAAATTCCTACGTATCGCTGAGTCGCCACGCAGTTAGCATGCGGCCCTACAGTAAGTCAGAGCCCGCGAATGAAGCCTTTTGAAAACACGTACGAAAAAATTTACCGTGAGAAAAAATTTCAGTAGAGCGAATTTGCAATAAAATTGAGACCCGAATTTTTGAAAATAATATAAAAATTGGAATCGAAAAACCACAATGAACAGGAAGTAAAAAATGTTGAAAAATTGAAAATAGAAAAAAATAAAAAAGCAGAGATCTCCAATCCTGTTCCCCCTACACTTCAAAGAGCTAGGTACTTCAAAATAGATTGCGATTTTTCATAACTTATGGGACTGCCTCGCTCCGCCCACAATTTCTAAAAAAAAAAAAACTTTTTTCCCCAAAAAAAAATTTACAAAAAAAAAATTTCTCCAAAAAAAATTTTTCTCAGAAAAAACTCCCGAAAAAAAAATTTCCAGGTACGTAAGCGTGATGCAATCCAAGGGACGATCCATTCATGTCTTCGATGTCGCTTCCAATTGCCGGAAGGTTGAAGTGATTGCATGTCCGAGAGACCCCAAAATCGAGATGAGCAGGACGAGATGGATTACTGTAGGACCACGGGGGCATCTTTTCATGACCTCTGGAGATAACATCAAAAGTGCCCTGTGGACCTATATCAGAAGTAAAAAGGCATGGAAGCTGTTGAAGGAATCCAGGAAGTCAAGATATCAGTATTTGACGGTGGCAGAAGATCAGGCGGATTATAAGTGAGTTGGGAATTTTAAAGGCGCATGGGATGGTACCGTTTTCATCGAATTCGGACCAAATTTGACGGCGATACGATGGAAAATAGGTTTTCGTGGCGAGACCCAAGAAATCGAAAAATTTCAAAGCCTGGTCTTGTTTATACTCATTCGAAGCATCTCAAACAGCTGTTTGAAACGGTACCGTTTTCATTGAATTCGGACCAAATTTGATCGAATTACGATGGAAAATATTTTTTCGTAGTGGGACCCAAAAGATCGAAAATTTTCAAAACCCAGTCATGATTATACTCATTCGAACCGTCTTGATTTGCTAACGCTAATGATACCCTTTTCATTGAATTCATACCAAATCTGATGGAGATACGATGGAAAATAGGTGTCGTGGCGAGACCCAGAAAATCGAAAATTTTCGAAACCCAGTCATGATTATACTCATTCGAACTGCCTTAAATTGCTGATTCGAACAGTACCCTTTTTACTGATTTTCGAGCAAAACTGGCCGAGATATGGCCTAAAATATGTTTTCGTGGCGAGACCCAAAAATCGAAAAATTTCAAAACCTGGTCTTGTTTATACTCATTTGAACCGTCTCAAATCGCTGATTCGAGTTGTGCCGTTTTCATTTAGTTTCGAGCAAAATTGGCCAAGATACAATGGAATATAGGTTTTCGTGGTGGGACCCAAAAAAAAATTTTTCTCAAATCCTAGTCATGATTATACTCATTCGAACCGTCTTGATTTGCTGATTCTAACAGTGCCATTCTCATTGAATTTGGACCGAAATTGACCGAGATACGGTAGTTTTAGTCGGAATTGCTTAGAATAAAAGAGAACGTGCAAATTCGCTCTCTTGATAATCAAAAGTTCAAATTTTTCCAGAGCCGTGGTCCTCCTGACCTGTGATGCCGCCAATAATCGTCTCCTTCTTTTTGTGGTCGATCACTCAATGACGCTGATCAATGAATACGATTTGAGCAAGACATACCGGCTCAATGAGCACATAAAATCTCCCGCTTCTGCTATTGTTGATAAGGTGAAATTGCAAGCGCGCTCTACAGCTAAATTTCGAGTTCCGGCGGTTTTTCAAATTTTTTGTCACGAATTTTGATTTTTTATAAAATTCATATACAAAAACCAAAACTGTATAAACATCTGATTTTTACCCAAACTTATCGAAAAACCACCTAACGCATCGAATTTTGTGCTAAAATTTTGAATTGCCGCGCGATTTGACTGGAGCGCACTTGCATTGAACTCAAATTCAAACTTCTAATATCAGAAGCTAATTTATCGATTTTTAGAACGGAAACCTGCTGATTTTTGACTATGCCAGTGGAAAATTATGGATTTTACTGTCCGGAGTCAAGGGGGTTCGGAGGTTGAAGCAAGTGACCCTACCGGATATTGTTAGGCCACAAGAAGCGTTGGGAATTTGTACGAGGGTATGTTTTATTGATTTTTCAATTATCGATTTTTCGAATTATCGATTTTTTAAGGGAGATGTTCTCTACATGGCCCTCTTTAATCGCCGTGAAATCCTCTGCACTCGGTACCTGGATGACGGAGTTTTTAAGCCGGCAAATGCATCAGCGGCAGTGAATTCTTCGCCAATTCAGCAAAGGAGGAGCTCCAGTCTGCCGAGGAGCTCCTGAGCTCTTAAATTTTGAATTTTGGGGATTTTTATAATCGAGCTTATTATAGGCATCATATTGTTTTTTCGCAACGGGGAATTATATTTTTATTAAATTTTTTTGAAAAATTAATCACTTTTTATGTGCCTTGGTGTTTATCAGTTTATTTATGGGATAAATCTTCTGAATTTCGATTAATTTCAGCAAAAATCAATAAATAAAGACAGGGATACGGTGCGCAATAAAAGTTGTGCATTCTGACGTGAGAGTGTTTGCGGTGTGTCGATTTACGGGGGGCGTGTGGAATTTTTTTCGCCATTTTTCAGCAAGCAAAAATGAACTCGATAGTGATTTCGGTGGCGGATTTGGATTTTAAAATGTTGAGAACATTTTATTTGAAGGTAATTTATCTAGTTTTTACAATAATTTCGTCTAAGAAATCGAAAAAAAAATTTTTTTCAAAAAAATTTCAAAATCGATTTTTTTTCTAATTTTTAGGTCGACATGGAATACGACAACCGTAAAAACGCAGCGCTGGCAATTCTGAGTAAACTTTCGAGAGATTTACTCGAAATATTCAAAAATCTCGGTGGATGCCTGGCGATTCCGCAGAGAGATTTGTGCACAATTATGCTCGTTTCAACGCCAGAAAATATGAAAAATCAAGGAATTATTGATTATTTGAAGCATCAGAGAATGACGGTAAGAATTATTGATTTTTTTATTTTTTGAAATTTTCGAAAATTATCGATTTTTTCCAGATCAAGCTGGAATGCGAATGTGACTCGATGGCGATCGAAAAGTGCCTCCCATTCGCTTTTTTCTATTTTATGGAGAGAGTCAAATGGTTCAGAGTGCGCTTTATATTCCAAAAATTTTAAAAAATTATCGTTTTTTTCAAAATTTTGTTTTTTTTTTTTCAGATCGGCGAATGCTTCGTCCAAGACGGATTTTTATGGTGGAAACTGACGAATCTTCCTAGAATTCGTGCGTAGATCAAATTTTTCTGAAATTTTTATTGATTTTTCCCATTTTAGAAATCCTAACCCATTGCTCTGAATCCGGTCATATTTACG